CTCCTTTCCCCAGTTAGCAGCTGTGCCTGTCCCAAGGGACGTGGCTGGATGCCGTGCAGTCTCCCCCTGATCCTCTGGGCTCAGAGGTCTGGCAAACTTTCCTGCCCAGAACCCTGGTTTTTACCTTTCCAGGGGAACTCTGCCCTTCCCAGCTGCAAACTGTCTCGCCAGCTGAGTCTGCTTCGCCAATTCGGGGTGGATGTTATCTGTTTCAGCTGCTCATTCTGTTTGCTCCAGGACAAACCTTGGAACGCATCTGCCTATTCTGCCGCCATCTTGTCTCTCCCCAGGCCACATCGTTTTTATGACATTTGAAATCACAAGTTGTGTCTTCCTGGAGGCAGACGGGCGGCTGTCTTCACTCCACCAACCAGTCTCTGCGACCAGTCTCTGATCTCTGCAAACTGCCTGCGTGAGGAAGGGGGGCTGGCAGTTTTCCTGAGAAACCACGTTAGGAAGGAGTGGGCTCAGTCCTGTGTCCGTGCAACTACTTCAGGCAGCCCCTCTCTAAAAACGGCTGGGAAGACAGCGTTTCCACCTGGGAAAGGGTGAAGTTGGACCCGTTCCTTACACCACGTCCAAAAATTACCTAGAAATGGACCAAGGACCTTAATGTAAGAATGGAAGCTACAACACTCTTAGAAGAAAGCAGTGGGAAAGCTAAGTGGCGTTGACCTGGCCATGATTTCCTGGACTTGACACCAAAAGTACAGGTAACAAGAGAAAACATAGACAGGTTAGATTTCATCAAAATAAAACTGCGTCAGACACTGTCAGCAGAGTGAAAAGGCAACCCATGGAAATACTTGCTGATCATTTAGCTCAGGGGTGTGAAACCCTTTCTCTGCCAATGGCCATTTGGGTATTTATAACATAATTTGCAGGGCAGACGAAACTATCAACTTAAAAATTGGCCTGCTGTATTTGGTCAAACAGTTAATTAGCTCACCCCTAATGCCTTGGCAGGGCCAGACCAAATGATTTTTTGAGCTTATCCGACTAGCCAGACATTCCCCACCCTTTATTTAACTGGAAAGGAATTAATATTCAGAATATAGAAAGAATTCCTACAACTTAAAAACGTGAGTAAGAATGAGATTAAACAATTAATAAACAGGCCAAGGACTTAAGTAGACTGTTGTCCAAAAAAGAAGATACAAATATCTGATAACACACGACAATATCAGGAGTTTTGGGGAAATGCAAATCAGAACCACACTGAGGTGCCACTTCACCCCTCAGGGTGGTTGCTATTAAAACAAAGCCACAGAGAGTAACGGGTGTGACTATGGCGAAACCGGAGCATCGTGCCCTCTTGACGGGAATGTAGATGGTGCAGCCGCTAAGGAAAACAGTGTGGCTGTTCTTCAGAAAAGGAAACATGGAACTCCTCTAGGATCCAGCAGTTCTGCTCTGGCTGTCGAAGCAAAAGAACTGAAAGCAGGTTTCAAACAATCGTACACACATATCCATAGCGGCTTTGCACCTAGTAGCCAAAAGGTGGAAGCAGCCCACTGTCCCAGCGAGTGAATCCACAGGATGCAGCACATCCATACGATGGACTGTTACTCAGCCTTGCAGAAGAAGGGCGTTCTGATGCGGGCCACCAACTGGGTGGACCAGAGGACCAGCTGAGTGGAGTAGCCCTTACAAGTGCCGTACGGTTCCACTACGTGAAGAGCCTGGGTAGATGGCTCTTGATGGCAGCCACCAGGGCCACGTCTTGGGTACAGTGTCCGTTGGTGACCCAGATGAGGATTTCCCCCAGATCCCATGATGCTTTGTTTTCAGCAGAAAGCACTTGCCTCTCACCCTGACACATGGCCCCCAGCATTTAGTTCTTTAAGAAAAGCACACAAAAAAGAAAAAAGAAAGAAAAGCACGGAAATGTGTGCCGTTCAGCTCAAGGGAGTGCGTCTGTTTCCTGCTGTTAGTTTTGTGGCTGTTCTTTTGTTAATTACAAAATCCTCATTCCTGGAGGATGTGCTAGTAGAAGCAAAATGATATAAATGAGCTTAAGCTTTATGGACTTGCAAAATATTGAGTTTCAGCTGAATAAAAAGTGCCATATGAACAATGACCATTGAGGGTGACCAATCTACATTAAACTCTGTACAGAACACCAAGAGGAATAATTCCCTAATGCTGTGCTTGTCATGGTGACTGTGTCGGTAAGTTCCTCAGTCTCCTGCATTCCAGCAGCTACAGGAGTAGCCATCGCTCTCTGGTTGCATCGTTTATATCCCTCTTCTCATCAGCGTGCTTGGAAACACCATAATAACTTCTCCATGCAGCTCGCCCCTCAGTTCTCGGATCTGCCTTCACTGCCCTGAGCAGCAGCATTGCTTACAGTTAGATTTATATTTGTCAGTGCTTCACATTTTTTCAGACATTTTCTGCCATATTGAGTAAAATACTTATGGACTCACCATTTCTGATTGCTTGGGCAGTGTAAACGTAGTGAATAACGACTGCATTTTCCAGAAGCCATATTCTTTGTGTTTATGTTAAAAGGCAATCCCTGTTGCCCTAGCTGGTTTGGCTCAATGGATAGAGTGTCGGCCTGTGGACTGAAGGGTCTGGGTTTCGATTCTGGTCAAGGGCACATGCCCTGGTTGCAGGCTCGATCGCAAGTGGGGGGTGTGCGGGAGGCAGCCGATCAATCAATAAAAATTAAAAATAAAGCAATCCCTGTTGAAAATATCAGCCTTCATCACCCATATTTTCTTTTTTTAAAAAAATATTTTTGTTGATTTCAGAGAAGAAGGGAGAGAGAGATAGAAACATCAATGATGAGAGAGCATCACCGATTGGCTGCCTCCTGCGTGCCTCACACTGGGGATCGAGCCAAAACCAGGACATGTACCCTAACCGGGAATTGAACCGTGACCTCCTAGTTCATAGGTCAATGCTCAACTGCTGAGCCACTCTGGCTGGGCCTAATCACCCATATTTTTAAGTATTGGTCAGGGTTCTTAATATTGTTGCTTAAACCGCGTCTTTCCCATGAAGCAGCTTGGCTAGGAAAACAGGTGGGGATGGCCTGAGTTACTGAAAGGAACACGCTTTCTTGAAACTTATGATCTTATTTTCCATCCCCACTGTTGATGGAGGTGAGAAGACATGTCGCCTTCCTTTGGAAGGTCCAGAGGTGGGAGCAGCTGTGAGTGCGGGCGGCCGCCAGGTGCCTGGCGTCCTGTGGCGCACTGTCAGGCAGAAGTTGGTTTTTGTACGGAATCACCTTCCTGTTTTAATTGTCATCGGTAACTAACACAGAAAAAAGGTGTAAACTTGTGGCCAGCCCAGACACTGAGCTTGTGTGCCTTTTCTCCTCTGACACTTAGCAATCATCCAGCCCTTGTCTCTGGGCACCAGGGCCTGGACAGCTACTCTAAAGACAAGGTTTAGACGAATCTTAGCAGTGTCCCTGTTTCATATTGAAGCTACCAATAGTGCCTGCTCTTTAAAAAAAATTTTTTTAATTTTAAAGTATATTTTTATTGATAGTATTACAATTCATTCATTCCCATTCATCCCCTTTAACCCCCCTCCACCCAGCCCCCAACCTTCCCCGCCCAGGTCATCAACACCCTATTGCCCGTGTCCATGGGCTCTGCATATAAGAATATAAGTTCTTTGGTTTATCTCTTCTCGCCCTCCCAACTCCACGTCAAGGTATGTCAGTCTGTCCCATGCCTCCCTGCTTTGGGTCTTATTTTGTTGGTCAATTCACTTTGGTCATCAATACCTTTAAAACAAAGAGACCTGTTAATTATATTCTTATATACTAGAGGCCCAGTGCACGAAAATTCATGCACTTGGAGGGGGAGGGGTCCCTCAGCCCAGCCTTCCCCCTCTCACAGTGCGGGACCTCTCAGGGGCTG